GGAACAGTGTGGGCTAGAGCACCCACGTCTGGCTGCAGACAGCAAAAGGTGGTAAAGATGTGGAACAGTGTGGGCTAGAGCACCCATATCTGGCTGCAGACAGCAAAAGGTGGTAAAGATGTGGAACAGTGTGGGCTAGAGCACCCATATCTGGCTGCAGACAGCAAAAGGTGGTAAAGATGTGGAACAGTGTGGGCTAGAGCACCCACATCTGGCTGCAGACAGCAAAAGGTGGTAAAGATGTGGGATGTTGTGGGCTAGAGCACCCATATCTGCTCACTTCTTTCGTTTTTATTATTAGTAAGAATATGAGGCCTGTGAAACTGAGGTTAAACTGGACAGATGGTGTACCCCAAAAGAAATTTGGGTCTTACTTCCGCCAATACCTCAAAATACCAGAGCACATTGCATAAGTACCCACAAAAATCACTGCGTAAGTAGCCAAATCTTTCCAAGAATAACTTTTATCTAGAACTGAATGCTGAATTCCAGTCAGTTGCATGAATTCAGATTTGAATAAAACCATTTAAATTTAATAGTGCTATACAGTCTTATAATGGCTAGTAACAACAATTTTTAGACTGACACAGTACTTACTGGATACTTAGATAGGGATTTTTGTATAGTTTTCTGTATTCATCCTTACCTTGTTTCTGTACTTTTTGGCATTGACATCCCATACTACTCCCCCCCCTCTTTTTTTTAAACAATTTAATCGAGGTAGGTTGATGAGTGAACGTTTGTTATATTTTTATAATTCACTGGTAATATATATTGTTAATATCATATCAGTTTTGTCAACTCTCGATTACAATGGGGGCCAGTGAAACTGGAAAGAGTTCCTTCCTGGAGCACTGGACCAATATTAAGGGAGTATTTACAGAACCCATGTCTTCCAACTTCACCCCAACTCATTGCATGTGCACACAATCGACTCCACCATGTTACAGTCATGTCAATTAATAAGGAGGACAAATCCCAGACAATGAAGTATGATATTACAAATATATTGAAAATTTGAAGAAAAGTAGACTGCTATATAATGTATTGTTTTGATAATTAAGAAACTGGTGTTTTTAAACTCAAACATCAATAGCATGAACACAGATCTGTCAGTTCTATAAATACTAGATACCTTGAATATTAATTTAGATTATTTTCTTTCTTTCTTTATTCTTTTTTTTACTGAAATTGTTTTGGCAGATATGTTTGTGCAATGAAAAATGAAGTCACAAAAGGTCATTATATAAGAACAATTTTTTATTGATACACTTTCTCAACAATTTCAACACAGCAAATTATTTGTCCAATATGTGCTTGTAGGTGACATGGATTTTATTTCTGCTTCTCCTAGCTTTACATCACTGAAATTATAAGGGCCTTTCCAGGCCTGAAAGAGCAAAAATTAACATTCCCATACGTACTTCTCGACACTTATGGGAACCATGTGCATTAAAGAAGTATCTTAGAATACAACAAAAGTCAACATTAAATATTTATTTCCATTACACATAATATCAACATCTATGTAACTGTCCTGTATGTTTGAAATCAACATACAAAAATTTATCTGTTATTCCATACTTAACTCTTTCCACATGGTCTCGGTCGATCTGACCAACCATATGACCATTCTGTACTTGTTCAAAGTCATTAAGTTCTGATACTACTAACTTTTAATACAGTATATGTATCTCCACAAAAATTGGCAGACTTTCAATAACATTACAAGTCTTCTACCTACAAAAAATCAGATTTTTAATCTGAGTGCAAAGTGATCTCATGTTGAGACTAAAATACTTCTTTTCATTTAAAAAAATCAAATTTCCTATGCATAATCTCTAAACCCTCCTAAATACATTTCAAATGTTGTTGTTTTTCCAGTAAAACTTTATATTTTATCTGCTATTTTCTCTACTCTAACTCTATATGGTGTTCGTCGATTTGACTGAACTTGTAACCATCATAAAAATTAGGAAATATATCTAAACTACCCTTTCTTTTGTTCTAGATTGACTTCAAATTGTAACAGGAAACCACAAATATTTATTCTATCGAATAGTATAGTGCACAGGCTGCTTACTAGTATACCCCAAGAATAATTTTTTTCTCGTTATCTTACCTAATAAGTTTCTATTTTATTTCTACATTTTAGTTACTTTCATTATAATAAATAAAGAAAACAAATGAAAAATAAATAAGCTCATAATTAAATATCAAACACTCTTTTCATTAAAACTTTATATTTTATCTGTTATTTCCTCTACTGTAACATTATATTTGATTCTCCAGGTTATCAAAGTATAATGAAAATAAAAGATGCAATGTGAAAAATAAAATGTATATTATTGTTTGTATTGATCACAAAGTATCAAAGGATTTAAGATCAGAGTTTATACTTCTCACACTTATTTTTTGTAGTAATTTTATTGTTAAGAGCTGACTTAGAAACCAGACAATACATAATGAATAGTACTGTCTGTCTTTTTTCAGTATGGATCACTGAAAGTTTCTTTTAATCTTTTTCACAACTATTCCCCATGTTTTTTTCTACTGTTATCAGCTGAAGTAGAAACCTGTCAAATATAAAGCAATGAATCACTGCTCCTTACTTAGTTTGACACCATCAATATCAAATAAGCTCATGCAGCACAATTCCAAGAAGTTTACCCGCTTTGAAAACACAGCGGGATGGAATTTATCAAATTGTTGACAGTATAATGGTTTCGACGACAATTGTCTAAAGTATTATAAAATTGTAGAAAGTCTGGGCCAATCCAATAAGCTGACATTCCCTATATAAACTATTCTCTACAAAGGGGTATAATTGATCGGCTTCTTTACAGTACGGCGGTTGCAACAAAAATTGTGAAATTATAAAAGTGAGAGAAAATATTTGTGATATGGGCTTGTACAAAGTTGTATTCAATCCAATAAACTTATGAAATGTTTGGTTGTTAATTAGCCTCCTGCATGGTCAGGATTTAGTATTAGTATAGGTGTAATAGTTGCTTATGAATATCATGTTTCCTATATTACCATGCTTACACAGTAACCAATAAATGCATAATTTCCATTAATATAAATACGGCACGTTATAGTTGAGCTAGTATATTTGGCTTAGCCTTCTTGCTTATCACTTTAGTAACAAATTATTCAGTGATTACTTTTTGTTTGATAGTACTATAATATGTTCTAAAACTTCTCTATAATAAAATATAGTACAAATCTCTCACTCTTAGCACTAGTGTACCAGTATTTTGTAAAATACAGTAACATTGTGGTTACTATACATTACATACATAAATATATTAATATTTGCAAAAAAATGCTTAAATATCAGTTGTTGTTTTTTAAATATAGAACAGTTAATAAAAAATATTTGAGAAACATCGATCTCTACTACTTACGATGCTACAAAGACCTTGTTTGCATTCATGAGTCATACTTCCTAACCCTTGTCGTAAGCCTTGTCTAAATTCGTATGTGAAGATGGACTTTATGTAGGCTTTACATACGTATTTTGTCATACCGAAAAATTAAAAATTACTATACTGATACCCCAAAAACCCACTGTAATTTATCAGGCTTCATAACTAAATTCTATTTGGCTTTAAAAATATATAATTTCTGTTCGGTAACTAGCCTTGATCGTAATACTTCAAACTTTCCAATGATAAAATAGTTTTTCGCTCATAAATAACTTAGGAAGAATGACAGAATTGCATAGAAGAAATGCAGATGTTTTGACTGGTTATAAAGTTATTGATATACAAAAGTAGACACAGATAAACAAGTCTTCTCAAATGATGAAGTGGTGGGCAGAGCCAATATTGTGGATTTGCTAAATATTGAGATATCTCAGCAAACAGAAAAGGCAGGAGGTTCTTATTTTGTATTTTAGCTTGCCATTGTTGGAAATTTGAGCTTCTAATATGTAAGAAACTATAGACATTGTATTATGGGTGTCTCAAAAAATGTAATTTGATCAAACCCAGAAGGCGGTGTACCATGTAACACACAAAAAATCTATATTTAGCCACTTTTTAATATTTACTTTCAAATTAAAAAATTAACTAATGTATAATAATAAAACCTCAATTATAATCTACAATTTGATGCTAAACTTATGGACATTCATTTATAAAATAATAGTGAAATAAGATTTTGAATACAAGTCTACAAATGTGATGACATGCCTTCTGACCCCTACCCGTGTCCATAGGTTTAAGCCACATAAAACTACAACACATAATACAGTTGAAAACGTACCTTTACAATGAACTGCCAATGCACCTTTAGCATTTTCTGCAATTTCTATGAATGCTCGCATGATCCCATCACTTGGAGTGCTGCCATCAACAAAGAAAAGATCTTTATGATCAAATCCATTTTCTGAAAATCTCCGAGCATCATAATTCTTTTTGTTGAGCCTGATAATGGTTGTAACATTGTTCTTGTGGAAGTATGGAAAATACGACTCTGGAGAATGTAATGGGTATCCTGATAGGAGCCAAACGAAAACAAAAAGATATGGCTAACAAATTTATAGCATGCTGTATCTGAAATAAGCTAGATATTAAATCTCTGAAAATATACTAATTTTGTATTTAAAACTACACATACCTAGTTCTTACATCTGGAAAACATCAATTTAGACCATTCTACTAAAGTTTATATGACAAAATATTTAATTCTTTGAAGAACAGACTTTAAAATTATAATGTGATTGAAAAATGGATTATTACGATAATCACAAAGTTCCCATTTTCACTAAAACCAAACTAGCTGGGTTAAAACGTAGTTCAATTATTGTGATAATCATAAAGTTCCCATTGTCACTAAAACCAAACTAGCAGGGTTAAAACATAGTTCAATTATTATGACATCCTTTTCCAGGCAAAGATGATAAAAATTTGGTTACTGAACAACAAAACTGATGAGTTGAACTAGGAACTGCTTTAAAAAACATTTCTTGTATTTCAAATGAAGGTTTCCTTTTCAATTACAACATTCATCAACTAGGGAAGATTATTAGCAAGGTACATCTGTAAAACAAGTCTTAGCTTAATTAATTCTGTAATCACTAATTTTTATATTTATTTTATACTTTCAATATAGCAAAATAAACATGAATGTCAATTATCTGTTCTTTTCAGTTCAGAAAAGAAACAGTGATCTTGTAGTTTATAATTTTGATGTTCTTATAGATTGAAACTTAATTCTTTATTGAAAGAAAAAAAGCAATATCAAAATATCAATGCAAGTTCCTCCTGAAACCCAATCATTACAACCTTATCAACACAAGCAGAAACATTTAATTCTCATAAACATCTAACATTATAAAAAATACTGACATATCCACCCAATTAATATTTCAATCATATAAGCCGTAACACTATAAAAGAACCTTCAGAAGGTGTAATCAATGGAAAATTGGTACATTTAGAAGTGTTAAAGGTATAAACTAAAATTGGTAAAAACAATTAAAATAAGAGGTTTTTACTTTTATTTTTCTGAGCTGTTTTTACTGATGTTAATCAATGTGAAATGTGAGATATAAGCTTGTAGTGAAAAAAAAAATTAACATTTCCACATACTTACCATTTTCGATTTTGTTTTTAGAATGAGGACCACAAAATGCAATAAATTTCTTTGGAACAATCCAGTTTAGATCTCCATTTTCAACTTTCTGTAGATAAATTTATATAGGTCATACTAATATTTTAATTAGATCCCTATTAAGTAATCATTAATATACTAAAAATACAATAAATATCCTGGAGACGGCTTGAATGGGTAATGAAGAAAATACTCTGATATAAGTTTAACATAACAGCAAATGTACAACGTTTCGACAAGGTTTTTGTCATCATAAAAACCTTATCGAAACGTTGTACATTTGCTGTTATGTTAAACTT